ATTTTGAGAAAATAGCAATTGTTTTTAAGAGAAGTTTGGTACAAGTGATCGTCGAGAAGAGTTAGTGATTTGCGTCCTGTACAATCATTACTTAAATGACATTGTTTGTATATATGTTTTAATATGTAATAATTTATTACAATCCACTGGGTTGAGTTCGCAATTGTGGTAACTTAAAATATTTTCGTATAGATTTTTCTTGTACATCACTCATTTAATTAATGTTTTGATCAAATTAAAAAATCCTTTGTAGTGTTGCTGACATTACTGATACTACGTCTTCTTCTGCAATAAAATGTTAGAATAATTTAATTAATTGGTGTAGTAAACCAGTTATATACGATAAACAAGATAAATTAAATAAAAAACTTCTTAATGCTCTTGTTCACAGTAATCTTGTCTTTAAGTTCGTTGAAAACCCCTATTTTATCGAATTTCTCAATGAATTAGCACCAAACTATAATCTGCTCTCTGCTAACATGCTACATACTCAAGTTCTTAACAATTCATTTTCGACTTATCTAAGCAAAAAGCTTGAAATAATGAAATCTCTTACTGATATTACTGTTGCATTAGATGGGTGGCAAGATGTGTCCAAAAATTCAATTTATGGATTTATGGCTTTGAAAGAAAATCAAGAACAGTTTTGGATATTATTAATTTTTCTGCGAACCGGCATACTGCTACTTTCCTTAAAGAACAACTTGAAAAAGTTATTAAATCAAATTCTATTTCCATCAATTCTTCAATTATTGCATGCGTAACTGATAATCCTGCAGTCATGGTTCGGATGAGAAATGATCTTAAAAATATATATCTGAATATTATACCCATCTGCTGCTGCCTTCACGCTTTCAATTTACTTGCCAAGGACATTTCTGCCTTTCCACCTTTACTTCCGACTATTAAAAACAACCAAAAGCTTGTTAATTTTTTCACGTCTTCTTATATCTGGCACTGGACATTACAGGAATGGCAAAAAAAAGAAGAATTAAACCATTCACTTATGACATTTTGTGAGACCAGATGGTACTCCCTCGCGAAAGTTTGTTTGGAGGTAAAATCCTTTGAAAAAGGATTTTACCACTGTATTAAACTTAGTGAAACTGCTGGCTACCTGACAATTAGAATGGAAATTCAAGATATTGTTACTAACCGCCACCATTTTACAAACAATGACACACTTATAAAAGTGCTTGTTCCTGTCATTGATGCTATTGGCCGTCTCGAATCAAGAGATGCCACATTAGCTGACATCTTTAAAGAACTACTAAATATCCATTGCACTGTTTCCACGACAAATATTCAAATTGATAGATTCAAAAACTATACCTTGGCAGCTATTGACAGGCGAACGCGTGAATTTTTTGATAATATTTTTTTTGTTGCATTTTTTTTATCTCTGTATTATAAAAAAATTGCAATTTCAAGACAAATATCAGAAGATTTAATCGTTAGAGCATCTCTGGAGCTGGCAAAGGTTTGGGGTTTTGATAAAAGAGAGACAACACTCTTATTTAAAGAACTCGTTATTTATAAAAATAGTGATGCACCTTTTGATAATTTAAAATATACTAAAAATACTAATCCTAGAACTTTTTGGTCCAAATTCACTGGAGGCTCTCCTCTTCTTCGACGTTTTGCTATGAAAATATTTGCGATCATTCCACATGCAGCAGCTGTTGAGCATTTATTTTCTAGTTTGGGGTTGGTAAAAACTAAACTACGTAACAGAATATCTCCTGTCTTGACAGGAATGTTTGGGATGCTTCGTCATGATCTCCAACAAGGTTTACCAGAAATACTAAAAAAAAAAAAAAATAAAGTAAATAGTCAAGATTTGTTTGATGATTCTTTAACAATTGAAATTGAAGACACCACCGTTGACGTTTACCTTGAGAAAGAACTTGATGAAGAGCTTTTGCAGATTAGCACCAAAGCAGTGGATATAGATATGGAAGATGAGCTAACAATAGAAAATTTGTTTAATATTTAAATGTTTGAACAAAATCAAGAGGAAACAATTGAAGCAAGTTCAATTGTTTATTCTCAAACACCTAATTGTATTAACGAAAATTGGTCAATTGACGATATCTTCTCCAAATTCTAAAAAATTTTAAGCAAAAGTTTTTTTCATTTTATACTATCTCGACAAAATTTGTATATACATACTGTATATACAGGTTACCTCCGTTAATATCAACCTATTTGGATTAGACAATTATGTTGATATGTGCGAGGGTTGATAATAGCGGGATAGTTTTTATATAGTCTAAGTCTATTGTTTCTTAATAAGAGATTGATATATTAACGAGGTTGATATTAAGGGGAGTAACCTGTATAAGATTAAATTGTTAAAATAAAATGTATATTGCTATACACATAGCTATAATGGTAATATATACGTATGTATGTACATACATACGTACGTACTAATAGTTCACTTCTACTAAAAAGGATATGTGAGCACTCAATTATTTCTTGGATTTGTGCAAAAGAAATCTTTTTTATATACTTTAATAATAATAATTAAAAATTAAATATTTTAAAAAAATAAAAAATATTTACAATTCTCGCATAAAATTGTTCACTCTCCTATAAATGGCGGCAATGATATGAAAGTATTTAAGCATTAAATATGAATTCCATTATATAAAATTATAATAAACTTCATAATCAATATTATAAGCTAATAAATCTACCAATTTCAACTCAGAAGGTGAGATCTAGATTAAAAGCCTAGGGTAAATCTGAAATATTGTAAGAAGACGAATATATTTGAATATAAATTTAATATATTACGATTCAAGTTTTATCATTGAAAATGCAAGATCCTATATTAGATATATGGTTGTACAATACGTATCACTATTGAGTAGCATGCCTTCTAACCATTTTAGATTTTGGCATGCTCTATGGCATGTCACCATGACATGCCAATAGTGGCATGCCCGTGACTGCTGTGCTACACCCTAACTCATATATTTTTGCTATAATTTTATATATAAAAAACACTCTATATATAAATTTTGTGACAAATCAGGTGACTGATATACAAGTCAAAATCCAAAAATACCTGGTATAGCCAGAATAAACTAAAATTTCAAAAATTCTAGTTCATAAAAATTTATTGTCATTCCTTTCTCCTTTTTTCTCTTATCTTCTTTTCTCCTCTTTCTCTATCTTACAGATATCAAGAAGTGGATGTATCAAAAAAGTTTGAAGAAGCCATTTGTTAGTTTAAATATTTATGCTGTTAGTTAAAAGAAGCCTAAAGTGAAAAATATAAAGATTCTAATCGCAAGTGGTATATATATTATAACTGTAAAGGCAAAGTTATAATGCATATTAATACAGTTTTTAGTATAGTAAAGATAGATATAAACTATCAACATCTTTACCCATGTTCGAATCTCTGTATTAGAATGTCAGATGAATTATTAGAAGAAATTAGAACATATTCACATCTTTCGATAGTTGAATTGATAAAATATTTGCAGTACAAAGAATTTAATTTATTAAAGTATTCTTATAAATATATATATTACCAGAAATCAATTGCAGAGTGAAATATATATCAGTGTCATAATGACCTATTCAAATCTAGTTTCAGGCTACTTAATGAGTATAAAAGCTAAGATTTTTATAAATGTTTAAAGATACAGAATACAGAGTCTACAGTCTTTGCTTTGTTACTCCTTTGCTAAAGAAAATTAATAGGCTTAATATTAATATTACTGAGATTTATATAGATACTACTTAAAAATAGCATGTAGCCAATATGAACTTTATAGTATTGTTGCTGATGTTGAAGGAGCTAGATTTCTAATAACTTGTCTTATAATAGATACAACAAAAACAAAAAATACAAATACTATTACAAGAAAGCATATCAGTATATTAATAAGTTTTCTGAAAACTATAAGATTATATTATATAAATCTGAATTTTGTATTTACTAACAAAAATTTTGCAGAAATAAATTCTATATCTGAAGTGTGAAGTGCTTTAGTGATACAATTATGCTTTTGGCATATGAATCGAGCAGTAAAATATAATCTTGAAGAAAAGTCAAAAGCTTTAAGAAATAGCGAATTAATAACTATAACTTTTAATTTTAATCAAGCAGCTAATGAGTTTAATTTCATCAATCCCACCTTTTATCTATCTGAAGCAGACCATAATCTCCAAACATATATTATTTGTCTACTTATATATAGAGAAGCAATTTCTTATATATAGAGAAGCAATTTTAAAGCTAATGCAAAATCACTTCAATATGTATTCATTAATATCAGTAGATGCTCAAATAAAGATAGATATAATTTTAATAATATAACAATTATTATTTTTTGTAATTTTTTTTTATCTAAATAACAAGGATCCTATAAGGAAATTATATACAGTCAATTCTCTCTATTCTAAACAGTTTCTATATATAAAAAAAAATTAAAGAGTTACTATGTTTTTAATTTAAACTTATAATAAAATTTGCAAATATTCTGAAGTTTTATGTTTAGATTTTGTAAAGTTTATTAGAGTTCTGATTATTCAGATTTGAATTTGAAAGAATTAATTATATTATTTATTAACCTGGGTTGTTAAAAGCTCAATCCTATCTATCTGAACTTCATAAATAGGGATATTAATTTGAACCTATTTTTTGAGTTAAGCTCGTTTATATAACAATATATAATTTACTAACAATATAAGATATTATATAAATATTATTTTTAATTTTTTTTTTTTTTTTTTTTAATCTTCAAAGATGAGGCCATGCCTCTATCTTTATTAAAATTCAATTAAACTTCTTT